TTTGAAGAATGGATAAATAAATGACTTAGGTGCAGTACAGAACAATTAAATATAATTTGGATGACTTAATTTAAGGGACTTGGGTGTGAGACCAAGCTTTCCATGTGATTTTAGGTAAGGCACTTAACCCTGCTATATTCCAGTTCCCTGATCTATAAAATTTGAAAATTTGAAAATTTGAGAAATACTACTACTTAACTTGTAGGGAAATGGTAAGGATTAAATGAAATAATGCATATAAAGCACTTAACACAATTCTTGGCATGAAAAATATGTTCATTAAGTGTTATTATTTTTATTATGAATGGAAAAAACTTAGCTCAAATATACTGTAGATGTGCAGCTTGCATTGAAGTTATTGAAGAAGGGTGGCTACTTAGAAGAAGAGGAATTGAAAACTTTCATTGAGAAGAAAAAAAGATAAGCTGGAGAATGATAAAATCTGGAAAGGTTATCTGAGGCTTTGCAGTTTAAGTATATTGCCCAATATCACTGTTTGAAGCCTATTTTAAGTAACGCATTGGAAATAACAGTGAGTTGAGACATTGCTTTTATTGCCCAAACAATCAAGGTTGTTCTTTGGTGTCAAGCCAAGCCAAAGAGGAACAGCTCTGAATTTTTCTTAAATAATATTCCTCTCTCTAAACAGTTCCGTTACTAAGCATACAGACAACTTGATCTTTGTGAAAACCAAACAGAGATATGCAGCGTTTTATTCCTGTATTTTCACAATATTTTTATACACACTGTGGTTAAACTTTCCTGAGTGATTATTCAGTCATGTTTTGTTGGCCTAATTGCAAAAATGGTTGCAAGTCATTTGTAAGTAAAATTATGCCAAGTGTCTTAAATCATTTTACATCCCCAAGCTGTACCTACAAGGACAGGATTATTTATAGCCACCCTCTAGTCGAAATACATTTTACCCTAAGTTCTTCAAAGTTAATAACAATGGCACCAACTATGGAACCAACAACAAAACAAGTTTTTCATCATCTCCAGGTCTTCCCTCTAAATTATGAATCAACGTTTACTTTGTATTAAGTATACATTTACTTTCTTCTTTTCACTCATCTGCCTCTTTCTGTGTTTCATGAATAATCACACCTATTCATGCTCTGAGAATTTTCATGGCACAACATCTTCAGTTACATTCTGATTAGAATGGATGTGCCTTGTTTTGGCAATGGGTTAAGTGTGAGTTCACGGATGTAAGAATGTGATTAATGAACATTATCATGTTTTAGAACAGTGTTTCCCAGCACCATGGTAAGTTACATTTAAAAAAATGGCTTTCCCTTAAAATGTGCATGTTTGCCTGTGTATACACACACATTTCAAGAACTGGTCAGTTCTTCATGAATTTTTCCCTTCTTAAATAAAGAATACTTTTTACCTTTTATCATGTGTCACCACTACTAGGTGTCTCTTGATAACAAGATGCTTAAGATCATAGAGATACTATGTTGACTAGAGAGCCTACCCCCAGTCCGAATTACCATACTCCACTAATCAGTCTACATTAACCAGTGTAGAGTAAATCTCAATGGTCGGCTGCATTATGCTCAGTAAACATCACTCTGTGACACTAATATAGGGCAAATAAGTTGCTTCTTTATCCATGTTTTAGCCCTTAAAACATCTGTCACTAATAAAGTTTCTATTCAATGAGTCAGTAAAACAACCAGAAGAGGGAGGGAAAAGGTCTCAATGTAAATAAGTATGCTGTGTTGCAAATAAAAGCAACAAGTAACAATGGTTTGATTAAATTTCAGCTTTCCAGAAATTTTTGTGTCAAAAATTTAAAATTCTTTGACTTTTAGTAATCTTTGACAGTGAATAAATAAATGACAGTATATTGGAGAGTGAATATAAATGAGAGAATAAAGGACACTTAAAACAATAAATAATTGAAAATTTGTTTAAATTAGGTCTAGACATACACAAATCCCTACCCGCTCATATTTACTAACTGGCCATACAACAACTCTCTCTTTTCCTACCCCAACAATTTTTATATGGGCATTGTTTGTGCCCAGAGTTTTAACTCCTGTGCCCTTGCCTGGGCCAATCAACACTCCTTAGGCACCGCACAAACAGAAGTCTATTAACCATCCCCACCAATTCCATTAACACCTCCAAAATTCTACTGCCAAACCCGACGTTGAATGGGCAATGGGAAGATGAAAATGCTCAACATTCTGTAACTTAAATAGGCAAATTATACTTAACTCAGGGTTTATATATATAAATATAATTCAGACCCAGAAACCTTTAATTAGCATACTTTCTTTTGATAGTTTAGAAAACTATACCTCATAAAAATGTTAGGTGGTCACTAAAGCAGTGTCTCACATTAGCATCTAACAATAACTTAGAAATAGTAAATAAATATATTTCCCTAAGTATTCAAAAGGGCAGGTTGACAAAAGTTATGCTGTTATAAGAGCTATCCTCCAAGACTGATCAATAATCTATTTCCCTACGGTTCTGAAAGTAGGCAAATTAATTAATTCTACATGTAATTTTAAATGACTACTAAAACTTTCCATTAGAACATTTCTATGTGCTAACCTGAATTCTAAGCATTTTTGTTTAATTTATTTAATCTTCATAACATCCCTGAGTGTTAGTCACACCAGTGGGACTGAGCAGCAGAAGGTGAGGTGTCCCAGGTCACAACATCAGCTGGTGAGGCAATCTGCTTCAGAGTCTATGGTGTGCGTGGCATTAATGGATGAATTTATTTTTTAAATCCACAGATACCAAAAGGAATATCTACCCCAATCAGACATTGTCAAAAGATTGTAACACGATGTCTCACTTAAATATTAGAATGGATCACATGACTATCAGAAAAGTTATCTAAGAACACAAAGAATACATGTAAGACCACATAGCTAAGACAATTTAGGGAAATAGCTGCAAACAGATTACCAGCTGAGAACCACTCTGATTCCCCTCTTTAATCAAAGGTATCAGGTAGACAGTAGCCTAAGAGGCAGAAAAGCAGGCATCACCGGCCTCTGTAAATAGCCGCTGTGGGAAAAAAGAAACATATTGAGAGACATGCAACAGTTGCTTTAGGCACCTCTATCCTCCCTGTCAAAATGTACAAGTAAGAATAACATATGCGTGCCAGGCTGTTCAGGCATAGGTGCGTCCCTGTGTGTTATGTGGGATTTGGAATATTATTGCCAGAGATTAAATTGGGATTAATATCTAAAATGATGAAAAATTATTTGGATCCTATATTTATTGTCGTTTTGAGAGTTAAGTAAATATATTTTTTTAATTTTTTAAAATCCTCACCTGAGGACATTTTTTAAATTGCTTTTAGAGAGGAAGGAAGAGAAAAAAACATCAATGGAACAGAGAAATATTGACCTGTTGCCCTCTGCTCGTGCCCAGACTGGGAGTCATATGCACTGGAATGGGGATCAAACCTGCAACCTAGGTATGTGACCTGACCAGGAATTGAACCCGCAACCTTTTGGTTATAGGACAACCCTCCAACCCACTGAGCCACACTGGCAAAGGCAAGAGAGTTAAGTAAATATTATTAAAGCTAACTATTGGGGGGGTAAATTATGCTAGAAATAGAGGCTCAGTGAATACCTGAACAAATTGCCAAACCAATCAAAGAGTGAATCATTTAGCATAGTAATTAGTTTTGATGAAAAATGTATAAACCAAGCTTTAATTCTTTAACTTGATGACCTTCCTTTGTTATTTAAGATATAAATTCATTAATTCTTTAGCATTTTGCATATTAGCTGGTAAAGAGAGGCAGTCATTCATACTGTAGAGGATGCTCCAAGCTTTTATAGAAAAGAATACCAGCATCCAGCAGTCTTTAGAAAGAGGAGGGCTACTACCCTTCGTGACAGCATGGTTGGAACTGGAGAGCATTATGGTCAGTGAAATAAGCCAGGGGGTGAAAGACAAATACCATATGATCTCATCTCTAAGTGGAACCTAATCAACAAAACAAATAAGCAAGGAAAACATAACCAGCAACATTGTAAGAAAAAAGAAACTAACAGAAACGAGAGGGAAGGAGGGAGGCGGGTAGTGGGGAAAGGAAGGGGAAGGATCTAATCAAGGAACATGTATGAAGGACTCATGGACGGTGCCAAGGTGGGGAGGGATTGAGGCAGGGAGGTGAGAGTGGGAGGGGCAGAGGAAAATGGTGGTGAGTAAATGGAGACAAATATATTTGAACAATAACAAAAAGTTTTTTTAAAAAGACATTCCTGCATTGTAAAACTGGCAAGAAGCTTTTAAAAGGATTTACATCTCATAGGGACAGAGAAAGAATTAAAAAAAAAAAACAAGAGGATGCTTGAAAAAAAAACACAACATGGTAATTCTTTATTCTCTGGAAAGATGAAGGCATATTCCTTCAACCAATAAGTATATCTGCAGCATCTAAGAGAGTAAAGATCTGCCCTATTAGAAAGGGTCAGGAGATACCACTTCTCATAACGACTATAAAGACAGTAAAGAGGAATATACAGAAATTGCTAAAATCGTATCTAGCATGGGTTATTTGAAAGCCATTGTTTACACTGTGAATGAATCCTTGCATTTAAAGAATAGAAACAGGAAACCAATGATGGATCACTCAAAAAGTATCTGTCTCTGTTGATACAGCATCAGGCAAAACACACACACACACACACACACACACACACACACACACACACACACGCATGCGCGTGCGACCAGACACTGATACAGACAATCATGGTTTGCACTTTGCAACAGTTCCCAGCTATAGCTGGCTGCACTTGTAAGCAAGTCTTTTTTTTTCCCTCTCTGACTCAGCTGTGCAGAGCCTGAGACATTATATTTCATGAGATTCCCAAATTAATTAGGTTAGGTTATCCTGGCTTTTTCCAGAAACCTTAAGAAATTTTGTCTTTGTCCTCCCAAACCTCTCCCATTACTTACTTGCCCATTCCCCTTTCAATACCCAGTGAACTCCTATTGCTTACTTGGGATATTTTCTAGTCTGAACAAAGGGCAGAATCTCGGAGTCTTGACTAGGTGAAGGAAGTAGTAAGTCTCGAAATCGTTCTGTCAAAAGAAAAATAAACATTAACCTGTAAAAAAAAATCATGAAAATACTTTCAAAATAAAATTATGTCTTATTCTTTTAAATTTATTCACTATTTGACTGTGCATCCTTTATTAGAAATTTACCCACCATTTTCTATACTACAAAAATATATCTATTTCACTTTAATGACTGCATGTCTTTTTATAATTAGGATATCATAACAACCCCAAATGTAAAAAACAGCAAGCTTTTACTAGTATAGAATAATAAAGCCCTATAACTGGAAGATTAGAGGAAACACATATGACCAATAAATATACCAAGAGATGCACAATCTCACTGGTAACCTGGGAAATGCAAGCCAAAATCACATACCATTAGAGAGCATGCATATTACATGGCAAGTAAGTGAGAGAAATTAATCTCACAAGACCAATGTAAGTAAGCTTTCTATATTTTTGGTAGGAATTAAAGTAATTTGGAATTATCTTTTAAGTTTAACCTTTGCATGCTCTATGAGCTAATATAACCATTCCCAGATATATACTTTGAAGAAACCTTCCCATATGTATCAGGCAGTAAGTAAAAAAAGATTCATAGCATCACTGTTCATTAAGAACACAATGTAAACACTTGCTCATCAACAGGAGACTGGACAATTTGTGGTACATTCACACTATGGAGTATTAATTGAAATAAAAATATAAATTCAGTTACAAATATAAACATAGTAATCATATTAGTATGTTAGGTAGAAAAAAATACTAATCAGATTACATATAGAAGAATATCATTTTTTTGCTGAGTTAAAACAACAACTTAGCAGTGTATTGTTTAGGATTGTTATAAATGGAAAAAAAAACAATGAAAAAAGGAATGACATACACAACTCAGGATAATAGCTATCTTTTAGGAGGAGTAAGGGGATTAAATAAAAAAGCAAAAAGGGAGGTTTAAGTAGTTGTTAATATTACACATGTATTAACTATAGTATCATAAATGAGTGAATAAATGAGTAAATCAGGGTCAGGAACTGTCCAATGATAATATTAGCCCATGAACCAAGATTTTAATAAAATTCTGTCCTTATGCAGTTGGTTATGAAGAAAGGAGGGAAGGAGCGAGAAGAGAGGGAGCGAGAGAAAAAGGCATGGAGAGAGGGAGGAGGAGGGAAGAAGTGAGATAGGGAGGGAGGGAGAGAGGGAAGGAGAGAAGGAGAGAGGGAGGGAGGGAGGGAGGGAGGGAAGGAGGGCAAAAGAACATGATAAAAGCAAGAGAAGGAAAAGCAGAGGAAGGAAGAATCCTCAGTTCTACCTTAGACATAACTACACCGTACAGCTATATGTGTTGCTTGATCTATCACTCTAATATGGATCCCATAATTCTAGGACTAGATATTTATTACCTCTGGAGCAACCCCTAATGGAAGGCTTCCTTGATCCCTGCTTTCTTTCCCTCCTCTTCCAAATCTGGAATAGATGGCTCTACTCTGTACTTCTGGTATACTCTGTGCTTACATTCTCACAGAATTTATCACACTACATTTTTATTGCTATATGGTAGATATAGTAGATGGGTACAGGGTCACCAGAATATGGAACATTATCTGATACACACATATTAAGATGTTAGATAAGTATTAGCTGAAAGAATATTTCCAATTTCCAGTTTTGCTGAATATAGAAAGCTATTTGCTAAGGTTAATCATAATGGCTTTAGAAGACCCCAGATGCTATCAACCACCAGAAGAAAGGGGACCTATACTTCAGCTCTGACAGATAGCACCATTGGGCTGAGACAGCGCACAAAGCTGAAACTCCAGGCTTCAATAAATCTGTCACTAACTGAAGGTGAGCAATTTCCATAAAATGTTAAAAATCTACACTTGATGACATCCACTATTTCCCAGTTACTGAATAGTTAGATGTTAAACATTCATGAGCACTGTGGCTACAAAATATGGCTGAGAAGCAGGATGTGATCTTTTATCTTCATATTTATTAAAACATAGTGAATTGGATATTTAACTGATTTCTACTCTTCTATGTGTTTTCACCACTCGGACAATTCTTATAATACATGTAGGGAAGAATTAAAAAGACCTAAACACAGGTGGTTGTACTTTACAGTCCACATGAAAGTAGTTTATTCTCTTTTAAGTATACTTACTCTTTAATATGAGTTCATATTTTTAAAAATTAAGGTATATTATTGACTAATATACTGCAATTTTTAATCAACAGAATTAAAATATATTTCAATGAAATGTCTAGAAATTCTTCTGATGATATGACCCCTGGTTTTCAGTCTACTTTCCGATTTATGTAGCACACCATTAAATGAGTTATTTGTAGTATTTCTCCTTTTCCTTTACCACCCTCCATTTATCTTTTTCTTAAAAAGTCTTGAAATATAAAGCCCAAGACCCAATAGCAAACATGATGAACTTTACACATCAAGTAAAGAACTATTTGATCAAACAGCTATACTGAATATGTTATATGCTTGGGTGCCAAAAATAAATATGAATTAAAGTATTACTGTATGATTCCCAAGCTGATTTAAATGCAAAGAAAAATCAGAATTCTTAATGCAAACAACTAGAGTATAATATAGCTATTGGTTTTCCCCCAATTATATAAGTGCAAAGTAAGTACATTTGATTATAAATCTGGAAGAAAATATCTGAAGATTACAGTACATTGATAGGCCTAAAATAAAACAAGACAAAAAATAAAAATAAAAACCTCCCCCAACACACAGAGAACCAAAGTAGTAAATAAGGGCTCACTTATAAAGCTACCCAAACTATAAAATCTATAATTAATATTCCTACATTTGGAGCATCCTTTAATCTGAATACTATAAAAACAAGGAATACCTTCAAGAGAACATGAAGATATTTGAGTAGCTATCCCTGTCAAAAAAACTGTTCACATGTATACAATATAAAATATAAACTATACCTTAAAATTATATATTTTGTTTATTTTTAATTAAAGTTATTGAGGTGACATTGGTTAATAACATTATATAGGTTTCCAGTGCACATTCCTATGGTACATGATCTGTGTATTGCATTGTGCACCCACCACCTAAAGTCAAATCATCTTCCATCACCATATATTTGACCCCCTTTACTCTTTACTCTCCCTCCCACCCTCCTTTCCTCTGGCCTGTGTCTGAGTTTCAGTTTTATATTCCACATATGAGTGAAATCACATGGCTCTTAGCTTTTTCTAACTGACTTATTTTGCTTAGCATAATATTCTCAAGGTTCATCCATGTTGTTGCAAATGGCAGTAGTTCATCTTATGACTGAGGAGTATTCCATTGTATATATGTACCACACCTTTATCCAATCATCTACCAAAAGACACTCTGATTGTTTCCATGTCTTGTCCACCATGAATAATACTGCAGTGAACATAGGGGTGCCTATATCTTTGTGAATAAGTGTTTTCAAATTTTCAGAAAAATTTTTTCTTGAAAATTATGTCCTTTTAAAAATTTCTATTTTTTATTATATATTCATAAATTCTTAAATGTAAACAATTAACTTTATCCCATAAACACAACTGTTTATTTTTTCTTTATGGGAATAAAAATAAATGATTAAAATTATCCTTAGAAAAATCCAAGTGAATGAAAATTGTTTATAATTCTTACATAGTCTTTATTTAGTTTCCCAGATTCTGCCTATCAACTATTTAATTATCATCCCATTCTTTATATGATGCTAGGAAAAAAAGAGCCAAATAAATTGATGTTCCCTTTGTAATTTTAAAGTAATTGTAAATTTTAAAGTAATACTGTTCTCTTGTAGCAAAATGTCACATCAGATGATTTGCTTTCTTTGTAGGCCCAAAGTCTATTTCTTAAGAAAATGGTAGTCATTCAAATAGTAGGGCTCAGTAAATTCCCAGGGCTTCTTAAAATAATTTCATCAAAGCCACTGAAAAGAATGAGAGGATTTTCTGCAAAGTGATATTCTGATAAGCTGACTAATAATATGATAATGTCTGAACATGATTTTCTACCAGTAGGGGGTATAGCTTAATTAACACAAGCTTTTGTAGATTTTCACCCACTCTTCCTTTCTCTGGTTCAATCAACAAAAAAGATTCTGAGGCTACCAGACCTGGTTAACTTACTGTACATAATTACATTAATTTGGATTTGTTGGCTGATCAATAGTGATAAAATACAGTTAATTACTGAAAAACAAAGGCAAGAAAAATAAAATACTTCCCAATTTGAATTCAACTTTTTTGTACATTTATTGTGACAAGTTATTTATTTTCCCCTTTATGGAAAATGGCCAATCTGTAAACCTCCTCAATATTCAGATTGTAACAAATGGCATAAGAATTTGCATAATACAACAAAAAAGTATGCAAATATATTCCTGGGATGAGAATAAAATAAAATCTTTTCCCTACCACTATAAAAAAAGGGGGAAAAATTAAAGATAGAATATAAATATAAAGGTGATGCTGATTCTGTTACTCTTTTGAAATCTAAAAGTCCTTTATATCTAGAGAGGTGATTACAGCCACCAAATTAGCACTTTAACAAGAACCTAAGAAATTGCTGGAAGGACTCTGTCAAGGTTTTACCAACTCCAAATCATTGTTTCCTCCAAGGTAAATCCTTTTGCCCCTCCACAGTCTCCAATATGGAAAGGAGTATTTTAATTTCTTAAATACTAGATTATAATGGGCAAGGAAAGAAAATAGATAAAACATCTCTAAAGAGTGACAATGTTTCCTTTAAAAAACCAGAAAAGAAGTTCTTGACATTTTTATTAATAGATGCAGTCTTTCTCTTAATGCTCATGTTATACTCAATTTGCAAGTTTTAATTTTTTTTTCCAGAAAGCACTGAAACTAAATCCTTAAGGGATCTGAGGCAGACCCATTAGACTTAACTTTAGTTTTTACAATAGCTAGAACAATGCAATGTACTATACAGAGCTACAAAATAAATGTTGCAAAGAAATAGACACCATTTCCAT